ACAACCTATAGTAACATGCTATACAATTATCCACATTCTGTACGTATACAACCTATAGTAACATGCTATACAATTATCCACATTCTGTATGTATACAACCTATAGTAACATGCTATACAATTATCCACATTCTGTACGTATAACAACCTATAGTAACATGCTATACAATTACCCACATTCTGTACGTATACAACCTATAGTAACATGCTATACAATTATCAGCATGTGCTATATGTACACATGTAGACTGCTTTTGCATATCTAGGTTGAATCAATCGCGGTAGTACTGAAATATTCCATGATAAACAAATGAACTTCGACCAGAATTGGTTGACCTAGTAGGCAGAACTCAAAATACACAGTTTTGTGAGATTTTTTGTCCAATCAGATATCATGTTGTTTTTTCACCTGTGAGCTAAATACATGACATGTCCTAAAATTTATTTGTAAATCAACATTGATTTGTATCGATACACTGCAAACTAGTAATAGTAAAAGTCAGCCTTCTATAGTTACTTTAAAGGCACTTCTGACCCCTTGATTGGCATGGGCCAAACTTTGTCAAACTTTGTAGTATCTAAGATGTTGATATTGTTGTAAACTTGTTCCTCAAAAGCATACAGCTCTACATTGTCCATTGCTATGAGGCCACCTTTAATAAGAGACCGCTTAACGTTAAGCATACCTGCTAAATGACCCGCATCTCACCTATCACCCACGACCAACTTATGACCCGCGCGGGTCATACAAATCTCCCGCATTCCGTCAACATGACCCCGAATCACCCGCCTCTGCGCTCGTATTAGTATCTCCCTATTTCTGGAAATGTTCCATTCGTGTGTCTCGGAGGTTTAGAACTTGGGTATGGGTAAAGTCCGTACACAATTCGAAATGTTTTCACAATGGCAGTCTCTCTTAACTTAAGAGACCACTTTTAATGTTCCCTTTTACAGTTAAAGACACCAATTGTGTTAAGAGATCACGTTTTGGGCTCTCCGAGGTTGGTTCCTTAATATTGGTGTGTAATGAAGATTATAACAATCTAGTTAATTCATGGTTTGTTTGAACTAGCTCACCAAGACCATTTATGATGCTGTACTTAAGTTGATTTTTGGACAGCATGTTATATTAAAGCGGTATTTAAAGATGTAGTATTTCAAGGTGTACATATATATGATATGTTTCAGAGTCTGGATGATGTCGTGAAGGAGATGCTGGCATCTTTAAATAAACAACTTTCTGAAGTTAGCATACGAAGTCCATCCTTAGAGTCAAATAAAATGGAAATTCTAGTCACAACACAGTAAGTGTGTATATAAATAATGTGTGGGTCAAAGAAGTAATATAGATGGTAAAATCCCATCTAACACTGGATCCTAATGGAGGTATGTCCGTAGGATACGAATTACTTAAAATATTATATGGGGNATCAGCGTTCCTTGTCCGCGATGCTCTCAGCTTAATTGCTGCCTTCGGCTGTCTTTAGCCGAGGGGACTATTGGTTTTATATAATAGCTTTATTTTCAATTATAGTATATCAATTCTATCTTCTTGTAATATGATGTATATGTACATGTAACTGTTCTGTTTCACTGTGTCTTGAAAAAGGAGCGGATCGCTCCGAAAATTTGACAACCTAAACTTGTCCACACTGTTGGAATTACTTCTTTGCCCCATATATATAATGTGTGATTTATTTGATCCTTGAATAGCACCTACCAATATCTAGACCAGGTTAAATTATACCTGTATTTATAGGGACTTACCATCCAAAAGTCTGGACATCAAGATGAATCTTTTCCTTTCACTTGCTGAGTTATTTGCATACACCTAGATAGGATTGTTTTAAGTGGCCACTAACTATGGTGGTTTTAGTGGTCAAACGTATCTCTGGTCTGATCTACAAGGAGACCCGTGGAGTACTCAAGGTTTTCCTTGAGAACGTCTTCAGGGATATGCCGTCGCTTACACCGAGCACGCCAAGAGGAAGACCGTCACAGCCATGGAGGTTGTGTACACTGTGAAACAACCTTTTCATATTTGAAGTGTTTTAGGTTTCATTGTACATGTAACATGCACTTTTATTTAAAACATCAATAAAATTCTTTTCAGTCTTTTAAAGAATACTGGTTAATGACATAACATGTCTGAACCGAACTGAGTAAATTATATTGTGATTGTTTTTAAATGTTTCATAAACAGTGTGATTGTTCTCTTAGCGTGTGTAATAAGTCAGTTTGGCTGGACTGATATATAGTATAATATATGGTGGTTTTAGTGGCCGCCAAGGTTGTCACACAATGTCTCCATAATTCCCCGATAGAAAGGCTGTCACTGAAGGAATTTGTTGAAGTATTTTAAGTTTTTAATAGCTGATTTATAAGGCCCTTTGACAGCAAGACAGACCATACCCAATTCCAATCATTAAATGTTTTGAGAGAAAGAAATAAGAAACTGAAACTCATTTTTGTACGCCCGTAAGTATTATGGTATGGGGTTGCCCGTCTGGCATAAAGTTTTGTTTGTCCGGCAATCTCCTACATTTTTCGACCGATCTCTTTGAAACTTGGTATACATTATAATCATGTTATGAAGTTGTGTCTCCCTTAAAAGAATTCTGATTTGACAATTTTTGCAAAAGTTCTTGTCCTTTGTTCATTTCAGTATTTGATTTTTTGTCCAGAGATTTTCTCCTACATTTCTTATAGCATGTCAGCTAACCCCTCTTAGAATGATGCAGATCACATTTCAATGTAAGAAAGTATATAACACTATATGGCATTTTACGGGCGTATATTTTGTTCCGCCCGGCGGTACTCTTGTTCTTGATAATGTCATTATTCTTTGGTAAGCTCTTTTATATATTCTATTTAGGTTCATTTGTATGTTTTGATTTAGTTTTATGATTGACTGTCATGTAGCTCAACACATCTTTTCTTTGTCCCTAGGGAAGGGGTCTATCCCCTGGAGATCTGCTTCAGTTCCGCTGAGAAGCGAGCCATCTGGGAGTCAACGTTACTGGATGCCAAACAGAAATTATGTAGGTTCAAAGCAGAATTATTGCCAAGTCAGAAAAGTGAATACAGAATGCATTTTAAAATTTGTCATAATTGAAGTATTTTAGGGTTTCTATGTTTTTCAAAGTCAATTTTTGATGCAGAGTAATTATCTTTTCTTTATGCTTTTTAAGCCGAGTTCACTGTTTTCAAGTATCCTTTGTATTACAATTTTTTCTGTAAAACTGTCTTCCACTAAACCCTTGGCATATATGTCCCATACTATGTTCTTATCTATAACTCTATACGTGTGTTTTACCTATAACAATGATGGCCCCGGTGGCCAAGTGGTTAAGGCGTCTGACAATCTGCTACCACTAACCCTCCACCACTGGGTCGCGGGTTCGAGGCCTACGTGGGGCAGTTGCCAGGTACTGACTGTAGTTCGGTGCTTTTCTCCGGGAAATCCGGCTTTCCTCCACCACCAAAACCTGGCACGTCCTTAAATGACCATAGCTGATAAAAGGACATAAACCACAAACAAACCGAACCAAACCTTACAATGAAAATACATCTGATTCTCTGACACCGCCAACCAGGTCAAGAGACCCCTGCAGGTATATACACCTGGCGAGTCTAGGCCCTACTGAGGAAGGCCACAGTAGTGGTCAAAATATTTAGGTATGTAGTGTTGTGTTTCAATCAAAAGTTATATAGAAAAAAACTATCAGAAATATGTTTTACCTGTTTTGCAGCGCTGCTATCGGACAAGAGAGCACCAGAGTTTCAGCAGCCTTTACAGATTACGAAGACGAGAGCTGGCATGCAGGTAAAACTCTCAGATGTGTTCAGTTGCTCTTTGATAAGATTTTGCCTTAAATGTTGAAAAAACCCACATGTGCATTAATAGCATCGTTTGATAGCCTTAAAAGAAATGGGGAATTTATGCAATGACTAGTTTCTGACTATATGGCATGTTTCTAGTGATTTTCAACACTTTAATTCTGATGTGGTTTTAGGTGCAGCTCGAAATGATTACAGAGATGTTCTTCTGGGACTCCATCTTGTTTAAAAACTTTGAATAAAAATATACAAAAAGACCAATGCAAATATGTGCTGAATTAACCATATGTAGAAGATGTGGTCGACAGTTTCCCTGTACAGCAAAAGCGTACATAAGATATAATCTGATTGTATTTTGTTTGCAGTTTTCCTGTGCGGCCCCCATTGATGGCCTCAACAACAGTGGTTACCGTGACGTGTGGGTGTGTAACAGCGACGGATACGTGGGTCACATGTGTCTACTGAGCCTCCAACCTGAACCAATCGTCACCCTGAACACACCTGTGCCTGGCTGCAATGCCCGTATCCTGTGTATATGTGCAGTTCCTGCTTACAGTGGTCCATTTAGAAGGTTTGTTTACGAAAGAGAAAGGGAAGAGAGTATTATATACATAAAAAAATTTTTTTTGTATTTGTGTTAAGCAAGGGTTAATGTCTCAATACCATGATCTCTACATTGGCTTAGACTTAGGTTGATTGCCATTATTTTAAAATAGATTAGCTTTGAGTCGCTTTGAGTCTTTTATGACTTTTTGTTATTTTTTATGAACACTCAATTTTTTTTTTACAATCTGTGGCAAAATTAATATTGGTGTAAACTTGTTATCTCTGCAGTGTTATTATTGGCATACAATTTGTGGTCTCTACAATTATGTAAACATTGCTGTAAGGTTTAATTTCGTGATTGTTTTGCAGGAAGAGTAGCTCTAAGAAAAACCTCCACAAACACTCGGTACCATCAGTGGCAGAGGACAGTCCTGAGATCAATATCGAGGAGGTGGACGATGTGTCGGAGCCCGAGGAGGACGCAACCTCTGCTGGATACCAAACAGATTCAGAGTCGAGTGAGGAAGAAGAGGAGGAGGAGTTGGAAGAGGAAGTAGAAGGAGAGAAAGAGATGGAGGGAGAGGAGGCACAACAGGAGAAAGACGAAGGCAGCAGTGAGACTGTGTTTGATAACAAACCCAAGGATCTGTACTTAGGAGGTAGGGACATTCACCTACTGTAAAAGTCAAAAGTCTCATGGTGAAATCTGATTGGTAAAAATATACAGGCTAAGAATATTTTGGATAAAAATATCTAAATCTAAATTTGAATTCAGTAACCAGAAGGACGATTAAAATTCAGGAATCAATATATTTCATAAAGAAGAGAAGACATTTTTTTCAAGATTAACGTTAAAGATTTTGTTGTAAAGCTATAGATTTCTGGGAGTGTCACTTAATTTCTCACTTGTGCTAACACAGATTCCTCGGAGGGTAAGGCAAGTCCTGTGTCCCAGCTGATCAATCTTGACCCCTTCACCATGACCGGTAACTGGCTTCAGGACGCTCACAAGAGTACAATGTGGCTGGGCACGGAGGATGGCTGGTAGGTTAATGTAGCAAGTGACCTCGATGTTCTGGGATTTCTACAAGTTCTCAAAAGCTGATTCATCCCTGAAGACACATTTGAACTCTTCCAATCAAAATGTTGGAACAGTCCATTTTGAAATTTCAGGGGTCAATGAGTTAATGCAAGGTGTTAAAATTTTTTTATTTTTTTCATTTTTCTAAGATTCTTGTTCGTTAATGAATAAAAAGCTTTTAGATTTGGAATTATCATTGGTTTGACCTTGATAGTTTATGTTAATCGTGAAAAGTCCTGTCAAATAAAGATCTTCAAAAGCTATCAGGCCCCAGGAACATGAAACAATTTTAAGTTCAAAAACTGTTTAGTTTTTTCCTAGCCAATCACAAATAGCGTTATGAAAAGTGACGTCATAAGTGATTGGCTATGCAAAAGCTTCAGTCTAAGATTATTTCATGATCCGAGGGCCGATGTATAACTATAATTTATAAAAGTATAACCAGAAACAATGATTAATGTGTGTTAACATGGCTAGGTATATCTTGTTTAACTTTCCTGTTTTCTCTTTGCAGTATACATATATTCCAATGCACAGACAATATTAAAACCACAAAGAATAAACTCAAGATTCACCACGGGTCCCCAGTCTATTGTATAGTGTAAGTACAAACACGCTTGTTTGCATTACTTCAAGTATGTGAAGAGCTTTCAATAAGTTTTGAAAATTTGATGATTTTTGTGTATGATTGGCATTTAAATATGTTTTAATTTGAATTACAGATATTTAGACAACAAGGTGTTTGTTTCCTTGGCCAATGGGGACCTGATCGTGTACAAGAGAGACTCGGGTATGTAACAACATCTTCTTCTGCTATGCACTTGCCCCTACTCAGATGACATAGATTTACAGGTTCACTGAAGACATCTTTTAACAGCTGTTTGATATATTATTTTAAACTGTCATGTAAATGTGAAGTGAACCTTCCGGGTCATTACATGAATAGTCAGCTTGGTTTCATAGTTTTAAGCCTGCTTTATCAATGTTGAAATGTTGAATGTTTAATAACTGAAATTACAACATTACATTAAGAGGACTTCATGTCAGTTCACATGATATAAACAGATATGAGTACATGTAAGGAAATTATCTTTTAGGGTAAATGCTATATGAAACATCGTGCCATTAAGTGGAATCAACTTTAATGCATATTAAACATCATGACATTAACAGGAGTCAACTATAATTGATATTGAACATCATGACATAAAGTGTAATCAACTGTACTGAAATATTGGTCAAAACATCAATTTAACTCTCTGCCAGCTGCAAACAGTAATTTCTGTTTTACAAACACTTTCCTCAGCCTGATATCGTGGGCACCTCCCGCCTCATACTAAATTCCTTATTATAAACTTACTCCCTTACCACAATCACATGCTGGCTATTTTTAGATGGGATCTGGGACACAGAAAACCCATACACACGTACCGTTGGCAGTGTCATCTCTCCTATCAGTCGCATGTTAGCTGTGGCAGGCAAGCTCTGGTGCGGCTGTCAAAACGTCATGAACGTCATTAACCCTCTCACTCTCCGGATAGAGGTAAGTTGAGCGACTCACTTTATCAAAACATTTTAATATACACATTTTTCTAATGTATAGATCTCAAGGAAAGCATGTCTCCATGTAAAAGTTAAGTAGCATATATATATACCCTTAGGTCACCATGTCACAGTAAGGTAGCATGCATCCTTAAGTCTCCATGTCACAGTAAGGTAGCATACACCCTTAAGTCTCCATGTCATTGTAAGGTGGCATACCTCCATAAGTCTCCATGTCATTGAAAGGTGGCATACAGTCTTAAGTCTCCATGTCACAGTAGGGTAGGGTAGCATGCATCCTTAAGTCTCCATGTCACAGTAAGGTAGCATGCATCCTTAAGTCTCCATGTCATTGTAAGGTGGCATGCATCCTTAAGTCTCCATGTCATAGTAAGGTAGCATGCATCCATAAGTCTCCATGTCATTGTAAGGTGGCATACAGTCTTAAGTCTCCATGTCATTGTAAGGTAGCATGCATCCTTAAGTCTCCATGTCACAGTAAGGTAGCATCGCCGTGTCACAGTAAGGTAGCATACACCCTTAAGTCTCCATGTCACAGTAGGGTAGCATACAACCTTAAGTCTCCATGTCACAGTAAGGTAGCATGCATCATTAAGTCTCCATGTCATTGTAAGGTGGCATACCTCCATAAGTCTCCATGTCATTGTAAGGTGGCATGCCTCCATAAGTCTCTATGTCATTGTAAGGTGGCATACACTCTTAAGTCTCCATGTCACAGTAAGGTAGCATACACCCTTAAGTCTCCATGTCATTGTAAGGTGGCATACAGTCTTAAGTCCCCATGTCACAGTAAGGTAGCATGCATCATTAAGTCCCCATGTCATTGTAAGGTGGCATTCCTCGATAAGTCTCCATGTCATTGTAAGGTGGCATACCTCCATAAGTCTCTGTGTCATTGTAAGGTGGCATACCTACTTAGGTCACCATGTCACAGTAAGGTAGCATACACCCTTAAGTCTCCATGTCACAGTAGGGTAGCATACCTCCTTAAGTCTCCATGTCATTGTAAGGTGGCATACAGTCTTAAGTCTCCATGTCATAGTAAGGTGGCATGCTTCCTATTATATGATAGACATATATGTTTGCCGTCCAGATCACTAGGAATATTTTTCCAGCTCAAAGACAATATGTTTGTGTTGTTACAGACGACGTTCCAGGTGACGACAGATTCTAGTCGGTGTATCCAATGCCTGGTGTGTGCGGGGCAGGGCGTGTGGCTCGCCTCACAGCACAGTTCAAAGATCTCCCTCTATCATGCCACATCATTCGAGCCACTGCTTGAGGTCAACATAGCTCACTCTGTGGCTCAGAAACTTCAATGTAAGTAGGAGACAGCCACTGACTTCCCCCTCCCCTCCTAATAAATAATCCCCCCCCCCCCCCCCCCCCCCCCCCCCCCCCCCCCCCCCCCCCTCATCCAATCAGCAACTCATCCCTAGCCTTTGAACCAATATACTTTATACCAGAAAACCTTCAACCTGTCAAACTTTTGCCCTAGGCTGGTAGAATTCATATTCTAATTCACCCATTAATTTTGGCCTTCAGATTTGATTTATTTTAGTTAATTTTGTTATTTCTAATATTCTTTTTTAATGATAAATTTGCACTCATTACAGAGGGCGTAAATGGCAAAAGCTAAGCTGAGGCAAAAATGTCCCTGTATGCAGTACTTCCTCCCTTACCAATTAAAAACTCCTCTTTCTTCAGGCATCACATTAAATTCCAATAAAGAACTCTGCCCACTCTAAGTGAACTTTTTTCCCAATTGAGACAATTGACTCCATATATTCTTGCACACCAAACATTTACATTGAAGTCACAAAGAAAACACTATTGGCTTTAAACCACTTACTTTTTATTTAAAAGTGAATGCATGTTATGTATACAAAGTTGTGATATGACTGAAAGATCGTTGTTATAGCCTACAAACAAACCTAATTTTGTAATACGTTTGCAGGTAAATGTCATAATATAGACATATCTCTGAACCAAAACAAACAGTTCAATTATCCTGTTGAGCAAGTGCACACTTTACACAGTAATAAAAAATATTAGCCCTTTTATCACTGTAGACCATAATGGACTCATCCAGGTAATAGCATGGTAGAGTCTACTGAAGTTACATAGGGGTGAAAGGGTTAGGGATAATTTTAGATTTGTTATTATAAACAGATGGTCACTGACAAAGGCAGGTTTGAAATCGATAAGGTTTTGGAACTTTTTCTGCAGGAGATATAACTGCTATGCTTATGTAACTTGTAGCGGCTGATGACATCATTCGACAACACAAGGCGGCTTGCCTGCGGATCACAGCTCTGCTGGTGTGTAAGGACTTGTTGTGGGTGGGCACCAGTGCAGGGGTCATCCTCACCATACCCATGCCACGCATCACTTCCACCTCCACGCGGGGCTCCATATCAACCCCTTCAGTTACAGGTAAGTAGTCCCACATCACGTCCATACAGGTGCCTCCATATCAACCCCTTCAGTTACAGGTAAGTAGCCCTGCATTATATCCCTATGGGACTACATCTCCATCTTCAGCTACAGGTAAGTAGTCCCACATCACGTCCATACAGGTGCCTCCATCTCAACACCATCAGAAACAGGCAAGGATTCTTGCTTCTCCTACCCTTCACAGGTGTGTCTTCCATTTTTGCCGGGAAAGATCAGCTTGTCACCCCTTAGGGGAAGATAGCCTCGTGCCAAGTAGCACATGTTCAATTGTGACGTCATTAAAATGTGTCACCGGTAATTGTGACGTCATCAAAAGTGAATGACGATATTCATATCCCACATGTGTTTTTTGTGGAGTTGTGACTGAAATAATAGGATGGGAGAAAAAAAATCATCCCCTACCTTGAGGGTTTAACAGAAATCTCCGACCCTCAGGTTGATTGTTTTGGTTGTTGAACCCTCGGCAGAGCGACGGGTTAGACAACCAAAAAAACATCACCCCTCGGGTTTGAGATTTCTCTGTCACACCCCCAAGGTAGGGGAAGATTCTATTAGTCTTATACAATGTATATGCACACCATCATTCATACTAGATTTCTTTTCTTGCAGTCCTAACATCCGATAATAGGGGCATTAATACAACCAGGATATTGTCTTAATTCCAACAGACGGAATAAAGCATTATAAACAGCAAGTAGTAGGGGGTAATGCAGGAGTATTTTTTTAGCCTTTAGACAACAATCACTGTAGAATTTGATCCTGACATAAATGCCTTCTCTTTTCAAGGTCTGGTGTTTGGTCACACGGGACATGTAAGGTTTCTGACATGTGTAGAACTAACTGCTCCATCATCTCCAACAACGCCCAAACCCCGAACTGAAGATGAGGAAACCGAGGACAAACCAGACAATCTTGCAATTCACGACATTCACCGACGATCTTCAATGGCGGCCACAACAGCCACCATGGCAACAAGGATGTTGGTCATAAGTGGTGGCGACGGATATGAAGATTTCCGCAATAATTCAACCAACGAGGTTGCAGGGCGGGACGATAGCACCAATCACCTGTTGCTATGGCAGGTGTGATATTGGAGAGGTCTGTTTGGTTGAATATCACATTGACATTATAGCCAAAGATAATTATTTATACAGTTTCTTGTGTTAAACATGAGAAACTATTATTGTAAATTGTTTTGTATGTAGACTGACGACGTGTGGAGGTCGTCGCGTTACCTGTGCGAACGAGGACTGTCAAAGCGGTGACAGAGCTATTCGTACTTCTGTTCTTACATTCTGTCTTTCCTAGATACAATCATACAGTAGACTGAAGCATCTGTATTTGTGATATTGAGATTCTCAACAAAATCTGACTTGTTACAATTATTTGTTGTGAAGCTGCGACATTTCTGGAGAAAAAATGTCTCAAGAACTCTACAATCAATGATTTTCTTCCAATGTAACGAAGAGGGCTGTGAAATACAAACAATTTAGTACTGGACTGGAGCAGTGTGATGATACACATCAAACCCTCAACTGCTCACAAACAATACTCTCAAAACTTCGAACGTTGTGATGGATTCTGTTTTGTTTGTCAAATTAAGCGACATTCTTGAAGCTGCAAGCTACATTTGAAGCTTCTTGGCAACATGTAATAATGTGCAAATTAATGAGAGGTGCTTATTCAGGGATGAATTTTCGCTTATTTCAAAATGGTGCTATTGACAAAAGAAACGGTAATATTTTTGCATTTAGTGAACTTGTTATTTGAGTTTTAATATATGATTGTTTGTAAGGCGATTTGCCAGAAAGTCATGCAATTGAGAAGGTGCTAGAATTATACACTATGCATTACATATAAATTTAGATCTACCCATACATCATTTCAAATTCTGATTACAAATTTGTCATACGGTAGTACAATTTCGTTACCTCATAATTGTATTCTTCTTAGCTGTAGAACTGATTTAGTACTGACAACGATTTCTTATGAATGTTCAAGAATGGAATAAAATTTTCAGGATCATTAACTCATTCGCCCCTGACGTTTCATAATGAACTATTCCAACCTTTGAACTGGAAGAGTTCAAATGTGTCTTCAGGGGTGAATGAGTTAACAGTGGTTCTAGACTACTTGCAAAATTTATTTCAACTTTTAAAAGAATTTATGTGATGTTAGAATGGAACGGAACAAATTTGGTATGATACCCATTGAGACTATCCTTCAACAGCGATTCAACCTAAAGACAAAATCGTCATTAGTTATTAGACACGATAGTGGCTATTGTTAAATTGACCGCTGTTTCTGGATGTTTCATACAAATAATTGTAGTGGACCAAGGCAGGACTAGTGTAGGACAGAAAGGTGGGTATTTATGTATTAAACAAACGTGGGCTTTTTTCCTTTTACCAGCGTAAGTGGTACGGAACCTAGTTTGTTTTTCCTGTTAATTCTTATTCACAATGCATTTATTTTAAATCACCCTCACATTTTACTAACTTCTTTTAGTAAGTTACAGTGGTACTCGTTAAATCTTGTACTATTCATAATTCAAGCACAGTATTACAGATTCTGAAGTTTTTTTTGCTTGGGTTATCTCCCTTTGATTATATATATATATATAAAAAAAAAAAAAGTAAAAAGCTCAGAAATTGACAGTCCCATGTTCCGTTAATAAAAACTGATGTAAAACAACAATGGCCCCAATTGATGATCTTGCAAAGTTGATTGTTTTGTTGGGGAATAACAATAATTTCTTTAACACATTTAGCATCTTTTCAAACATCCTCGATATCCAGGGGTTATATACGCTCACTTACGCTCTCTACACCCCTGGATTGTGTCATAATAAAATTGAAGGCACGAAGATAGCCGTTTGATTGGTCTCAGGAAAAAGATACTGACCAATCACCAGGCTGATACCTGTGCTTTGAAGATTACAAAGGAGAGACGCCCGACTTCAAAGCCTGTCAATTTTTACCGATATGTAACCGCGAGTGCGCACACTGAGCCTTCGATGTTGCTATGACATATTCCAGAGGTGCAGAGAGTGAAAGTGAGCGTAACGCCTGGATATCGAGGATGCTTTTCAAATAATGTCTCTATGTGAATTCATTTTTATATCTCTGATAGATATCATGTACTTATACTTTCTTAGGTTATCAGCAGATGCCGATCAATGGTTATTTTCAGTAATTTAAAAAAGATTTTAATCTAGTGACAATTTTTTTTATTGAAGTGTCGGCAATTGCTATTATAAAAGCTTATAAAAATCCCAGTTACATGTTTGGACAAATTTGGTATTAAAATCTGAAAAAAAATGTCTTGTACTGTATAACAGTTTAACATTGAATGTCACATTATACACACTGCTGAAGTTATTTTGTGATAGAAGACTAGAAAGTATAATGGTGTAACCTCATTCTACTGAAAAAATAACCAGCATTATATATATATATGGGATTGCTATTTGACAGAGAATTCCTGAGAAATTTCTTGATTTTATTACATTCTGAAAGCACAAATCTTGCATTTTTGTTAGCACAAGATTCACGCAGCATCTACCACTGCCGACTGTGGTTTGGTTTTATTATTACAAGGCTTTACGTATACTGATCTGATGTCCTATTATTTTATATCATTATTATAGATTTTTTTATTTTTTGTTGTATATTTTGTACATAAAGTCATTCTGAATGTGATCAAAATGTTATTCATCCTGTATAATATGGATATATATAACTGATGTACATAGACAAGTATGTATAACAGAATTATATTACCGATTTATTTATAAGTTGTATATAGATGGGATGTACCCTTTTTCAACTTTAAGCAATACAATTATTATATAGCTGATGACATGGTTAACCCTGTATAGTGCTTGTTTTATGAGCTATTTAAGTTTAACATGCTTTTCTAGTCTAGCTTTGTACATATCTGTATATATATTTGTGTTCCAATTTAGGCACAAAAAGGAAATGACAATTGTTTTCTGTATTTATGCAAGTGTGGCTGTAGTCTATTAACCCTAGAGGTGACAATGACTTAACGTAGCTACGATGATATGTGTTCAGAGTGATTGACCGACACCTACACACCAGATGCTGACGAGATCTGATTGGATGATTTCAAATCACGCTCGGAGATCTGATTGGATGATTTCAAATCACGCTCGGAGATCTGATTGGACGATTTCAAGTCACGTTCGGAGTGTGGCAATAAAATGATGTTTCTGTACTGTGTAGAACAATTGTATGAATATGTTTGTGTGTCCCTTAGTTAACAATACAACAGGCAGTTTACAGGTTATTTCTATCCTCATACGAGACATTTCGCATCGTCAGGGGGGTTAAGGTTTTAATCAAAAAAAATTTAGAAACCATTTTCACATGGTGGGTTGTTCAAATTTCCCTGCGTCCATTGTCCATTTGTATTCTGTCTTCTGAACTAGAGGGATCTTTCTCAAATTTCAGGGGTAGGTTCCCCATGATCCTTAGTTGTGAACTTTAAATATAGGGACTGATTGGGAAACCAAGATGGCTGACGGGAAGCCATCACCTAATGTTCAGACATAAAGTTTGTGAGCACTTTTTCTTAAAGAACTGAGAGGATCTTTTCAAATTTCTTGTGAAGGTTCAAGGCGTTGGAAATTTTGCTTATTGAATTTTGGTTTCACCGGAAACCAAAAGAAGGCAGAAAGGTGGCCATTTTGAATTTTGATAGGAAGTTTGTTATCACTATTTCTCTGGAAGTAATTGCTGGAATTTGCTCAAATGTCAGTTGTAGTGTCCTCCCGGTCATTGTTGTGCACGTTCTATTTTGTGATTGAATGGGAAACCAAAATGATCGCAAGACAGTTGAAATTTGTTATGGCTCTTTCTCAAGAAAACAGATTTTTTCTCAAATTTCATATGTAGATTTCCGTTTGACAAGTAATTGGTTCCTTTGCTAGTTTTACATACGTCTTTCCAAAGTTCATTTTGCATGATCAGAAGAAAGTTAAGGTTGCCAGGAAATATTATTTTTTTCTTTTTCTGTATTTTACTAATCACTGTTTAGTAAATAGGTCAAGTGACGGTCTAACATTGTAAGGACACTGTCAAACATAGCTGTATAAAGTTTAGGGGTGACTATTGTGTGTATTTTTCACTATTGCAATACTATTACTATTGGAGAAAACACTATTGCGATAGTTCGATTATTGTGGTATACTATTACAATAGTATTGCTATAGTATTGGATACTTCAGTTACCCAAGTTCCTTCTGTCAAATCTCTGTTGGGTTGTTGGTATAAGTTAATATTTTGTCTTAAATATGCAAGTTAGTCGCCATGCTGCCATGCTAGCGTGTTTATCAAAAGTTCCCACAACACTTGAGTATACAGTATACTGTAACATATATGCAATTAAAACGCACACTTGACTGAGACAAATATCGGAATATGACTACCGCACTTGACTCCTTGTGTTAGTGCAGTCGAGTGCGTCTTAATGACAACGACTGAATTATCAGTACTCGTAATCGCATGGTGTGATATTGAAAACCGTAAGTGTTAGTAGTTTTGAAACTATCGATTGTTTAGCATACTATCGACAATTGTTATAGAGTTTATGAAGTTGGCCTCGTTAATCAAACCGAGAGGTGTTCAATCGCAATCTATCGATAGTACGATATATCGTTACACCACTAATAAAGTTTAAATCAAAAGTTACAACAGGATGCATTTACTGTTGACAAAACTATCAACCCAACAGATAAAGGCGGTTATCCATTTCACCCCTATGTAACTTCAGTAAACTCTACCATGCATTGATCTGGATGAGTCCATTTTGGTCCACAGTGGTGAAAGGGTTAAAATATTTAACTTTCATTGAACCAATGGAGGCAAAGATCTCTCTGGGATCACTTAGATCATTTATATATAAACCGGAGTTATAATTTAAAACTGTAAGTTCAACAAAATACTTACACTTTATAATGGTGGGTGTTTATTGTAGGCAAATCATAGTTATTACCTAGGCACTTAGTTTATGAGGGGGGGAGGGGGGCGGGAGGGGGGACATAACTGCTCTGGTACCTTGGCTCTTTACCTTATCTGATGAATGATGATGCTTCTGTATACTATAGACAAACTTAAATCTGTTCTTAACATTACAAGACCTCCAGTTCCAACTATATATTTTATGTCAGAATATTGTATAGGTCTGTGCCTTTTATTAACTCCTTAAATAACTTTGACGTCAGCAGATCAAAAAGATCTCTTGACTTAAAAATATTTGAAATGTAAGTCAATTTTGGTTATCTGAATATATCGCTTATTCCCCAATATTTGCCATCCTATTTATGCTGCCATGCACAGCACCAGAAGTATCAACTTATTGTAGAAAGGAAAAGTGGATGGTTTTTGTTTTGTGAAATATTTTTGGTATTGACACCACGGTACAAAAAGACTTAAATATTTGGCATTTAAATGTCTTGTTTTTGGGTTCTCTGATGTAAGACTTAAAAGATGTAAAGCTGTATAAAATTCTATTCACTTTAATGATAGGATTATACACACAATTTATTTTCACAAAGAATGATAAGTAAGGATCGCCGTACCAGTGCCCAAAACTGTAAATATGCAGGAGAATTTGACTTTTACAGCAAAGCTATATATTAACTCGTTCACCCCTGAAGACACATTTGAACCCTTCCAATTCAAAGGTTAGAATAGTTCATTATGAAGTTTTCAGGGGTGATTGAGTTAGATAAAACATTTCTGAAAAGAAAACCATATCTTGCTGGAATTTTAATGACAAATGATATAGATTCAACAAATATAACAACAACAGCTTCAAAATGTAAAAAAGTCAAACCAGTGTGGCCAGACCAGGGCCTGTATTCATGACACCGTTCTCGTGCCCAAGCATCGATTCTATGCTCAAAACCTACTTTCTTGCCACTGGCTTAAAATTATGTTTCACGGTCAAAAAGTCAAGTTTAAACACCGAAAATGGTATTTAGCCTCAAGACTCTCCCAAAATCTTCCAAATCGTAGTCATAATTTTTCATAAATTGATCACTGGAATAAGAAATTTGGCCTGAGCTCAAAATCTGCCTTTGAGCACGAGAACAGTTTCATGAATACGGGCCCAGGACTTGAACCTTTGACCACAGTTACACTGTCGCTCTAAACAACAGAGCTACATGGTCGATGAAAGTGCTCTGACTCAACTCTGCTACTGTTACATCCGAAACGCAATTAAGGGGAGGCTACTCTTTATATGAAAAACCCAGTGCAGTGGGGCAGGGATTCTTCATAGAATTTTAGCACAGTGCATTTAGTGATTTGGTAACCTCATAGAAAGAGAACATGCCTATTAAACTAACTACCTGTAATGTACGCATATAATTGTAACCATGGTGATGTGTTGTAACTTTTGTGTTTTTATGTTCAGACTCTGGCTCATTCGTATTTGATAATATGTACCCTGTACCACCAACCCCCATCCCCCACCCCCCACGTCTCATGGCATTAAGTTCTGGAGAGCATACAAATGAAGAAGGTTTAATGGTGTACTATTTATTATACTTGTCTGTGATCAAGTTTTATTTATTAATATGCACAACTCCACATCTAGGAATGGCAATTATTTATGAAATGAGGCATAAAGTTAAAAAGCTTAATCAGTAAAATTATGGTAAGTTGATAAATTTCCCTACCTACTTGCTTGTTTATATTTTTAGATATCAGGAAATGTATGTGAAGAAATTCTATAAATCAAGAAAATCTCCTTTACCAAAACTTAATAGTGCTTAATTTACATTGATGAGAAATATCATAAATACAAATCATTAATGTTTGTAAATCATGATAAAGACACAGACAAGATTTTCAAGGAAAAAATATTTCAAGCATTTCATTTAAAAAAAGTACTTGTCCAAATCATACAGGTTTGCAAATACCACTACTGTATTCAAAATCAAAATTTCATGAAAGGTTTTACTTTTTTTTTAATAAAAAAAATACATGTTACTCATCAGTTTCAGATAAGACCAAGAACCAATTTTAAAGAAAGACATATTTTTTTGAACAGATTTAAATAAAAATTATTTTTAAACTATCACGAAAACACCGGATCCTTCATTCTCTTACCCTCCACTGAATTTTCTTGTGCTTTATTCATGATTTCTCTCCAGACACAGGCTAGCTTAACACATGTTGAAAAACAAAAGATATCACTTTTTACAATCAAATGTCATAGCATTGCAGGACAATTAATGTAGAAAACATTTCATCACCAGAATATCCTTTTGTGGAAGGAGATAAAAATATCCTTAGCTTGACAGTATGAAGAATCTTGTCCCAAGAGTACGATTCTTTGTCCAACCTTCAAGTCTAGCAATCCGCTGTAGAAGTATCATTTTCTCAACGACACCAATACATGATTATATATTTTATTGATAACCTCTGTATTATATAGGAAGATAAATTTTATCGACAATTTTTAATAAATATTATCTCCCCTTATCTTCATGATAATATTTTGTACTGTGAGGGATATTTTTACTTTGTAGGCATGGGTATATAATAATTATACATTTTATATTTATTTTAGAATTTAATATTTTTAACTGTCCCATATCCTTGTTAAAAAATGTCCCATGTTTTTGAACCAAGTTCAGTTGATACCAAAGTATTTGACTCAGTACAGCACATCTTGATTTGTTAGGGCTTTATAAAGTGAAACTAAACATAACTCATTCACCCCTGAAGACACATTTGAACTCTTCCATTTCAAAGGTTGGAATAGCTCATTATAAAATTTCAGGGGTGAATGAGTTAAGCCATTTCAGGGGTGAATGAGTTAAGCCAAGTTCTGATATAGAAGTCGCCATTGTTTTGCTGTATTTTAATTTTACTGCCTGTATTTGTTGATACTGTACAGATTAACATCATACGTGATGTTTTGATATTGATTTTATTGCCTCAACAGTAATTGTTTTATTAGTGAATGCATTGAACAGATCTATTTGTACATATACACATGTAACTTGTATTCCTGGAAGGAGGAGTCTGTTATGGAGGAAAAAATGATATTTATATTTGTTGTGTGTGATTCCCTTTCTGTCACAAGTAAATCCAGCATTTGAATATTGCGATGCCAAAGACAGTTACTATACAGTGGTCTCCGTCACAGTTCTTTACCCAGGAACAACCGTGAAAGGCTGTCCACTGTACACTCTATTAATCAGGGCTGTCCCCACGCGCGCTACCTTTGTTTGTGTCTTCTAAGTTATTGAATTCAGGCATTATGTTCATCTATGTTTGACAAAAAGGGTTTAAGATAATCGTTTATCAATTATGAAAAATATATTAATATTTCTAGATTTATAAAAACTTCAAAAATATGAAAAAATTACATAAAAATGATTTCCTTTAATTGTGAAATTTTTAAGACTATTTCTGAATGTTAACTCAAGAATTTTTTATTTGCAAAAGAAAAAACTGACTTTTTTTCGTAAATGTTCATCTTCACTTTAATGCAAAAAGTAATCGGAAAAACATTTTTTTTTACACTAAGTCTAGATTTTTTAACACAGAAATTGAGAATGTTTCCATTTTAATGATAAAACACATTATTTTGTGATTAAATTTGTGTATGTTGCGCTAATTGAAACGTACAACTTAAAGATTTAAAGTATAATAATAATAATAAATACTTAATTTTAGAATAACGTTATCTGCATACCTGACGTAACAGAGTGTAGGGTGGCTGCCTGACTGACCTGAGTGAGTACTGCGGACGTCAGACATCCTAGTGCTTGAGTTGTTTGTGGCGTAGGTAGAGAGTCTCTATGTATATTGCTATGTGTCAGTGGATACGATGTGGACGATACTATTGTCAGTACATCATCTAATAAAATTGTTAAATTGTGATCATGTCTCCTTGATTGTCCAATCGAAAAACATAAAGATTAGGTCCTGCCACGGAATCAGATTAGATCAAAGTCCGTGATCCTGCTATGTTAACTCTACGTCGTTTAGAAATGTTGAAAAATGAAGAATAGGAAAGGGTTTCAATAGTTTCCGTTGCCCGAGTTTACTCTGGCCTCGACGCAAGACTTTGACAGATAGATCACACCTGACATCAATCTGAAAATTACTGTCTGGTGCCAGGGCCAGAGGAAACTTGGGCTATAGTTTCCGTTTCATTTTTTTTCATAAACGATTAATGGTTTCAAGTCGCTTGCAAGGACACTCATCTAGAAATGGCAATTATTGTTACAGAATGATAAAATTACCATACTGAACACAAACTTTAACTAAAACGAAACAAAACGAATGTTGTTTTATCTGTTGGGACACCATTACAGCAGATGGTATCAATGCTCCTTGGAACGACAGATCTCCTATATGTAACAACTACAATATTATATCTTTTCCTTGTATTCTATGGGCGCACGCACGTATCCTATCTGTTACAGCAAGCTCAGGACCTTTCGAAGTGTCGCCACAAGGTTGTCGTCGTTGTACCTTAAATGTGCGCTTGTAGGTTATACGCAGTGTCCTTTACCCCCTCAGTCCATCCGGGTTCCCTGCCAATGCCACTTTGTTGTTGTTGTTTCCTTCTCGAGGTCACTCGAACCTCGTATATTTGATAAGTTAGCGTGTACTGAATTCCATACCCAACAAACACATTTCCATATTTTAAAAATAAAACTACGTTCTTATACATGTTTTCTTAATTCTTAATTTGTGATGATTTTCAAAGTCAATTAAATAATGTAGATGTCACTCTGACAAGATAAAAACATTTGATAGGACAATGATACGAGTTTTGAAATTAGACTCATCCCGCGCACTTCTGTTGTAACAGTGTCTGCCCAATTAGCATGATGACCGATCGATTTACGTATTCCATAAAACACTTCCTTCTGTCTCGGTGTAATGTTATGGTTCATTGGTTTGAAATAAAAGTCGTGCTTGTTTCCCATGATGTTGAAATAACTCCTAATAACTCCAAATGAACATCTATCATGTTATGCCCATGCTGTTTTTATACCAGAAGAAACCCTAAAATAAGATAAAAAAAAAATGAATGAATAATAATGTTAAACGTAATTTAATCGGAAACAATGACGTAAAGATGCACACTGGATGTGAATTTTTCTTTGGATTATCATTTTACGCAGGTTAAATGCAGCAATACAAAGAAAAGACTCCTCTGAATTTACCAGTAAAACTAATACATATGTTTATATAAAATTACGAAATTTGACGGCCAAAGACATCCATAATAAATACTAATTTACAAGAAACCTAATGGCATTTGGTAGATATCTCTTCTTCTCGGCTATATCCTTATACTACCAAGTAACGGGAATGAAAGAACCTCACTGATACCAAAATGGCTTTAATGCGGAGTTGTAAATGCGTACTTACTTGTTACACGGTCCTAGCCCCTTTTTGTACCTGTAGAACATGCCTGCCCCTGCAGCCCCCATAGCCACCACTCCGACTGATGTCGTGACCCCCGCAATGATCGCAGTGTCGTCTACAAAGACAAGAAAAACACATATAAAACATCAAGCATCAACATACAAAATCGAAACACAAAGTTAATAGGAACCGTGGAGACATCAAAAGAAAAGAAACACACAAGTACTAACAGAAAACGCGACGCCAACCTCAATGATCACATATGGCACAGTTCCTAGCTTCGTCTATCAGTACACCCATACTATAATCTTTTATATGATAGGTGTATTGACAGACTTGGCTAGTAGTACCTGTGCATATGACAACTGTCATGATATCCGTGTGAAGCTTTAGTTTTGGCGGTCCCTTTGGCCGTTAATTTATATTATAGGCGTCGTGCTTGCACGAAAAGTCGAACAACAGCGTAGACTTTCTTGTTGAGGTCTTCAAAATTCCGACAAAATTATCACGATGCTTAAAGAATGCTTTTTGACGTTAATAGCATCCTCAAAACGTCAAAAATCCATTCGTGTTTATAAAGGCCCCCCTTTTCCAAGCTTGACAGCTCGTTGCGGATGAATACAATGTTTTTGTTATTGCCGAAACCACGTGCTCACTTTTAGGTCAAGTCGTAGCATCGTATTTCTCGGAAGTTTAAATATACAAAGAAACACGTTCTTGCCGCCAATCCTCTAGTGCCATTGGCATTTCGATTAAACTTATGAAAAAACGACCATCTTATATTACTCAGCACAGATTGAAGTCTCTCTGGAAGAAAAGTTTTTGTCAGTAGAACATATATTTGAAAATCATGATACTAAGAACTTGCTCTGAATTGTGAATCAAATGCAAATTCAAGCAGAAGGTAACTTGTGTTGCCAAAACGTACGTAAATATTAAGACATTGATTTGGAGAAAAGAAAGCTTTTCCGAATATACAATGTACGTCACTGTAAGAATATGAACCGCCTGGGAAGCTGACAAGTATATACCACAATGATACCTAACAGTAACTTCAGCCTGAGGAAGCTGACGAGTATACACCACAATGAGACCTAACAGTTACTTCTGCCTGAGGAAGCTGACGAGTATATACCACAATGAGACCTAACAGCTACTTCTGCCTGAGGAAGCTGACGAGTAACTTCTGCCTGAGGAAGCTGACGAGTATATACCACAATGAGACCTAACAGTTACTTCTGCCTGAGGAAGCTGACAAGTATACCCCACAATGAGACCTAACAGTTACTTCTGCCTGAGGAAGCTGACAAGTATATATCACAATGAGACCTAACAGTTTCTTCTACCTGAGGAAGCTGACGAGTAACTTCTGCCTGAGGAAGCTGACAAGTATATATCACAATGAGACCTAACAGTTTCTTCTGCCTGAGGAAGCTGACGAGTAACTTCTGCCTGAGGAAGCTGACGAGTATATACCACAATGAGACTTACCAGTTACTTCAGCCTGAGGAAGCTGACGAGTACATACCACAATGAGACTTAATAGCTAATTCTGCCTGAGGAAGCTGACGAGTACATACCACAATGAGACTTAATAGCTAATTCTGCCTGAGGAAGCTGACGAGTATACACCACTATGAGACCTAACAGTCACTTCTGCCTGAGGAAGCTGACGAGTATACCCCCCAATGAGACCTAACAGTTACTTCTGCCTGAAGAAGCTGACGAGTATACCCCACAATGATACCTAACAGTTACTTCTGCCTGAGGAAGCTGACAAGTATATACCACAATGAGACCTAACAGTTACTTCTTCCTGAGGAAGCTGACGAGTATACCCCACAATGAGACCTAACCGTTACTTCTGCCTGAGGAAGCTGACAAGTATATATCACAATGAGACCTAACAGTTACTTCTGCCTGAAGAAGCTGACGAGTATACCCCACAATGATACCTAACAGTTACTTCTGCCTGAGGAAGCCGACAAGTATATATCACAATGAGACCTAACAGTTACTTCTGCCTCAGGAAGCTGACAAGTATATATCACAATGAGACCTAACAGTTTCTTCTGCCTGAGGAAGCTGACGAGTAACTTCTGCCTGAGGAAGCTGACGAGAATATACCACAATGAGACCTAACAGTTACTTCAGCCTGAGGAAGCTGACGAGTACATACCACAATGAGACTTAATAGCTAATTCTGCCTGAGGAAGCTGACGAGTATACCCCCCAATGAGACCTAACAGTTACTTCTGCCTGAGGAAGCCGAGAAGTATATACCACAATGAGACCTAACAGTTTCTTCTACCGGAGGAAGCTGACGAGTAACTTCTGCCTGAGGAAGCTGACAAGTATATATCACAATGAGACCTAACAGTTACTTCTGCCTGAAGAAGCTGACGAGTATACCCCACAATGATACCTAACAGTTACTTCTGCCTGAGGAAGCCGACAAGTATATATCACAATGAGACCTAACAGTTTCTTCTACCGGAGGAAGCTGACGAGTAACTTCTGCCTGAGGAAGCTGACGAGAATATACCACAATGAGACCTAACAGTTACTTCTACCTGAGGAAGCTGACGAGGAACTTCTGCCTGAGGAAGCTGACGAGTATATACCACAATGAGACCTAACATTTACTTCAGCCTGAGGAAGCTGACGAGTACATACCACAATGAGACTTAATAGCTAATTCTGCCTGAGGAAGCTGACGAGTACATACCACAATGAGACTTAATAGCTAATTCTGCCTGAGGAAGCTGACGAGTACATACCACAATGAGACTTAATAGCTAATTCTGCCTGAGGAAGCTGACGAGTACATACCACAATGAGACTTAATAGCTAATTCTGCCTGAGGAAGCTGACGAGTATACCCCACTATGAGACCTAACAGTCACTTCTGCCTGAGGAAGCTGACGAGTATACCCCACTATGAGACCTTACCGTTACCTCTGCCTGAAAAAGCTTAAAAGCATATATCCAACTATGGGATCTAACCGGTACCCCTGTCTGCAGAAGCAGACGAGTATATCCCACCATGATACCTTACCGTTATCACTGTCTGAGGAAGCTGCCATGTGCACGCTGTTAGAACCTCCTCCACCGGCTGCAGCTGCCGTTGTTGTGGGTGTCGTAGTTGTTGTAGTTGTCACCACTACTCCACCTTTTCCAACAAACACGGTAGTTGTCGTTTGTTCACAATCGCCAGCGACAGAAACGGACACCGATGAATCTAGAGAGGAATATATTTGTCTCATGTAGTCTAAGGAGGTACATAACTTAAGCACCAGAACTCGAAATACGTCTATATGACGTTGTGATACTGAACACAGTCCAGATTATATTATATAACCCAGATACTTAACTGTTTAGAATAAAAAGAACCGTTGACAAGACGAATCGGGCATTGTTGCATATAAAACCATTTACAGATAATAGCGGGTGTTTTTTTTTTTAAAGTTTCCTGAAAAAATAAATTCATTTGTCAAAAATGTATGCAGGTATTGAACACGTAAGCTGTTTCGTATATGAAACTAATTGAAAAATCTCAAAACCGATTATGACCACGAAGGTATGGCAACTCAGTAGTTGATTGACATAACCTAATGTAAGGTAAAATGTTAATTGATTGTGTCATTTTAGTTTAATCGACAGAAACGATTGGCATGTTACTACTGAGGGAAGGAAAATCAAATGTTTAAAAATCAAAGATTCCCGTACTACTGCCAAAAGTGTTACTATAAATAGGAGCTTCTTTACCATCATCACTTTAGCTTTGATAATTCTGAGAAAAAAAATATACCTTGTGGAACTTTAATGAAAAACCAATAAAAATAATCGACAGTGTATTAAGAACAGTTGATATAAAACGGTCTTATAGCAAGGATGCTCTCACTTAATTATACCATCACACATAATCACTTGTAATGTATAATTATAATTTGTTTTGTACAAACTATGTCAATTGTTTCAGAAATCGTACTTACCTATTTTGACAGCAATATCGGGAACGAGGTTGCATATGTACGTGAAATATGTGACATACAAGACGTTATCAGCATCCGGGTCACTAGCAATGTTCAGCAGTTCCTGTGTTGTAGAGCTGAGGTCGGCTCCTATACCTATCACGTAGATAATACTGCCTGTTATGGAACTCCGGATAAGGTCGGCTGCTGTGGTTGTTTGCGCTGTATTCTGAGAGAGTCCATCTGTCATAACGATGACTATGGGATCAGCGTCCGTCCTGGCCCCCTTCCCCGTGGTGAATGAAGAACTCTGAACATAGTTCAAAGCGTCGGCTGTAAAAGTTCCTCCATTAGTCGTAATGGACGATTTAAGCCCATTGACTGCGGTAAGAAGACTCGCCTGATCCGCGTTGTCGTTCAGGTCGAATTCTTCATTATAAGTATCAGAGAAACTGACCACAGATACCTGGACGTCGTTCACACCAATGGTCAGGGCGGTAATGATATCTTTGAGAAAATCAATAGCCGTGTCGAAGTCCGACTGGTCAATACTCCCTGACTTGTCCACGACGAAAACAACATCTGAAAAACAGGGAAAAACGTTTGGATGAGAACAATCAAATAACGTATATAATATCAGGCATCAAAAGGATTTTAAACCATCTATATGATTACATTTTTACAATAGCCAAGGTTTACCATTGAGGTATTATACCTCCTTCCACAAACACTTACAGTTATGGACTTGAGGTGAAGTCTATCCCATCCTCGATATCCAGGGGTTACGTTCACTTTCGCTCTCTACACCCCTGGAATATGTCATAGCGAAATCAAAGGCTCATTGTGCACCATCTTGTGGATCAGTCTGACCCTTTGATTAGTCCGAATTATTCTGACGTTTTATCAACTTTTTTCATATCGGTTTGTCGTCGATTAACGTCAGAACTCCGGCCCTCTATAATATGCGGGAAATATGCGACCCGCGCCCGGAGCGCACTTCAAACTGTTATTTTAGAAACAAATCGTCACTTTCACACACATGTCGCACATGGATCGAAATATCTATTCTTTATGCACAAGATGAACATACATAACATGCTTCAAACAACCAATACAATCACTAAAAACATATTTTTTCAAACTTACTTTGTTTTACTCTCGTTTTTTGATAGCCCCGTCTTCCAATGCCACGTGACTAAAATCTCGCCGGCCTACGTCATAACGTTGGCAAATACCTTCGGTAACGCGAGATCTCGTCAAGTCATGTGACATTGCTCATGGCCTAATTTCCATTAAAAACATGGGTTGGTATAGAAAACGTTGGAAAATACTTTTCGTAATGATCTTTGAAATATGTTATTGATACCACATAGTGCATAAAGAATAGATCTTTCGATCCATGTGCGACATGTGTGTGAAAGTGACGATTTGTTTCTAAAATAACAGTTTGAAGGGCGCTCCGGGCGCGGGTCGCATATTTCCCGCATATTATAGAGGGCCGGAGTTCTGACGTTAATCGACGACAGACCGATATGAAAAAAGTTGATAAAACGTCAGAATAATTCAGACTACCCTTTGATGTACATCAAAAGAATCAGTCAGTCGCGTAACTGTAAAATTGACAGGCTTTGAGGTCAGGTGTCGCTCCTCTGTAATCTTCAAAGAACAGGTATACAATCAAAATCGTTACGGCGTCAACAAGTCGTGTTCAAAAAGAATACGCCTACAAACCGAACGGTTGTTTCAGCGTGTCACTCACTGTATCTGGCTTGTCGATTGGTCGATAGAACGTTTGAGGTCGGTGTCGTCCTTGTAATCAAAAGCAGTGTACAACAACATTGTATCTTTTTCGGAGACTTGTTGTTTGGGCGCATTGTCAACTTACAATTACGCATACACGTATATGAAAATGTAAAATTTGCATTGCATGTACATATGTCAAACCATGTGTCATGACTTGTATGTTTTGTTGCATGTGTACTTATCTACATTTTCGTGAACTATAATGGTATTTATGATTACAAGAGGGCAAAATGAAGATTATTACACATATGCTTGAAAGCTGTCCATACCGGCCGCTGACCTGAGAAGTAATATCATAGAACGGTGCAAGATTCGACAACTCATTCAGTAAAATAACTTTCATACCTGCTTAAGTATATTTGTAAATTATATAATAACAATGATGTGCACGAAAACGATAACATTTTATTTTATAATAAAAGTAAGTGTGCAATCGGCCCAAGAAACTGTCATTCAATGCAAAGAAGTACTTTTATGTATACAGTTCTATTTGAGAATATTGTCATGACAATTAAACTATAGTAAGCTTGAACAATTTAAAGGTAAGAATATTTACGAAAACAAGACTTTCCTGATTTACGTACCGTGTAAACGTTACATCTTGCACCGTTCTATGATATTACCTTTCAGTGCAGCGGCCGGTATGGGCAGCTTTCAAGCATTTGTAATGTTCTTCATTTTGCCCTCTTGTAATCATAAATACCATCATAGATCACGAAAATGTGGATAAGTACATAATAAACAAAACATTCAAGTCGTAAGACATGGGTTGAAACATGTACATGCAATGTAAATTTTACATTTCCATATACGTGTATGCGTAATCGTAAGTTGACAAAGCGCGCAAACAACAACTCTCCAAAAAAGATACAATGTTGTACACTGCTTTTGATTACAAGGACGACACCGACCTCAAACGTTCTATCAACCAATCGACGAGCCAGTTACAGTGAGTGACACGCTGAAACAACCGTTCGGTTTGTAGGCGTATTCTTTTTGAACACGACTTGTTGACGCCGTAACGATTTTGATTGTATCAACCTAGCGATTGTTCTTTTTGTTTTACCCGAGACCGAGATTAATTTTTCCAGTGATTGTCTAGCTTATTTTATAAAGAATTAACATTTAATGCTGATACGACATGTTCTAGCAGTTCATTCCAAATTGTCACTGTGCTGATTGAAAAACAGTTGTTTTTCTAAGCATATTTATTGATCGTTTAGGAAATATTGTTTTGGTGTGTCGTCTGCCACTGTGGCGATCAGCGGTATCTTTCCATAGTTTAATAGCATTAAAACATTCTCCTGAAGGCCAGTGTTGTTTTGTAAGTTCTATCAGATATCCCCTAATTCTCCTGAAGGCCAGTGTTGTTTTGAACAGTTCCAGCAGATCTCCCCTAATTCTCCTGAAGGCCAGTGTTGTTTTGTACAGTTCTATCAGATCCCCCCTAATTCTCCTGAAGGCCAGTGTTGTTTTGTACAGTTCTATCATATCTCCCCTTATTCTCCTGAAGGCCAGTGTTGTTTTGTACAGTTCCAGCAGATCTCCCCTAATTCTCCTGAAGGCCAGTGTTGTTTTGTACAGTTCTATCAGATCTCCCCTAATTCTCCTGAAGGCCAGTGTTGTTTTGTACAGTTCTATCAGATCTCCCCTAATTCTCCTGAAGGCCAGTGTTGTTTTGTACAGTTCTATCAGATCTCCCCTAATTCTCCTGAAGGCCAGTGTTGTTTTGTACAGTTCTATCAGATCTCCCCTAATTCTCCTGAAGGCCAGTGTTGTTTTGTACAGTTCTATCAGATCTCCCCTAATTCTCCTGAAGGCCAGTGTTGTTTTGTACAGTTCTATCAGATCTCCCCTAATTCTCCTGAAGGCCAGTGTTGTTTTGTACAGTTCTATCAGATCTCCCCTAATTCTCCTGAAGGCCAGTGTTGTTTTGTACAGTTCTATCAGATCTCCCCTAATTCTCCTGAAGGCCAGTGTTGTTTTGTACAGTTCTATCAGATCTCCCCTAATTCTCCTGAAGGCCAGTGTTGTTTTGTACAGTTCTATCAGATCTCCCCTAATTCTCCTGAAGGCCAGTGTTGTTTTGTACAGTTCTATCAGATCTCCCCTAATTCTCCTGAAGGCCAGTGTTGTTTTGTACAGTTCTATCAGATCTCCCCTAATTCTCCTGAAGGCCAGTGTTGTTTTGTACAGTTCTATCAGATCTCCCCTAATTCTCCTGAAGGCCAGTGTTGTTTTGTACAGTTCTATCAGATCTCCCCTAATTCTCCTGAAGGCCAGTGTTGTTTTGTACAGTTCTATCAGATCTCCCCTAATTCTCCTGAAGGCCAGTGTTGTTTTGTACAGTTCTATCAGATCTCCCCTAATTCTCCTGAAGGCCAGTGTTGTTTTGTACAGTTCTATCAGATCTCCCCTAATTCTCCTGAAGGCCAGTGTTGTTTTGTACAGTTCTATCAGATCTCCCCTAATTCTCCTGAAGGCCAGTGTTGTTTTGTACAGTTCTATCAGATCTCCCCTAATTCTCCTGAAGGCCAGTGTTGTTTTGTACAGTTCTATCAGATCTCCCCTAATTCTCCTGAAGGCCAGTGTTGTTTTGTACAGTTCTATCAGATCTCCCCTAATTCTCCTGAAGGCCAGTGTTGTTTTGTACAGTTCTATCAGATCTCCCCTAATTCTCCTGAAGGCCAGTGTTGTTTTGTACAGTTCTATCAGATCTCCCCTAATTCTCCTGAAGGCCAGTGTTGTTTTGTACAGTTCTATCAGATCTCCCCTAATTCTCCTGAAGGCCAGTGTTGTTTTGTACAGTTCTATCAGATCTCCCCTAATTCTCCTGAAGGCCAGTGTTGTTTTGTACAGTTCTATCAGATCTCCCCTAATTCTCCTGAAGGCCAGTGTTGTTTTGTACAGTTCTATCAGATCTCCCCTAATTCTCCTGAAGGCCAGTGTTGTTTTGTACAGTTCTATCAGATCTCCCCTAATTCTCCTGAAGGCCAGTGTTGTTTTGTACAGTTCTATCAGATCTCCCCTAATTCTCCTGAAGGCCAGTGTTGTTTTGTACAGTTCTATCAGATCTCCCCTAATTCTCCTGAAGGCCAGTGTTGTTTTGTACAGTTCTATCAGATCTCCCCTAATTCTCCTGAAGGCCAGTGTTGTTTTGTACAGTTCTATCAGATCTCCCCTAATTCTCCTGAAGGCCAGTGTTGTTTTGTACAGTTCTATCAGATCTCCCCTAATTCTCCTGAAGGCCAGTGTTGTTTTGTACAGTTCTATCAGATCTCCCCTAATTCTCCTGAAGGCCAGTGTTGTTTTGTACAGTTCTATCAGATCTCCCCTAATTCTCCTGAAGGCCAGTGTTGTTTTGTACAGTTCTATCAGATCTCCCCTAATTCTCCTGAAGGCCAGTGTTGTTTTGTACAGTTCTATCAGATCTCCCCTAATTCTCCTGAAGGCCAGTGTTGTTTTGTACAGTTCTATCAGATCTCCCCTAATTCTCCTGAAGGCCAGTGTTGTTTTGTACAGTTCTATCAGATCTCCCCTAATTCTCCTGAAGGCCAGTGTTGTTTTGTACAGTTCTATCAGATCTCCCCTAATTCTCCTGAAGGCCAGTGTTGTTTTGTACAGTTCTATCAGATCTCCCCTAATTCTCCTGAAGGCCAGTGTTGTTTTGTACAGTTCTATCAGATCTCCCCTAATTCTCCTGAAGGCCAGTGTTGTTTTGTACAGTTCTATCAGATCTCCCCTAATTCTCCTGAAGGCCAGTGTTGTTTTGTACAGTT